TTGAGATATACTGGCATGAATACGAATCTCTGAAAACGAGCTTGTTCGCTACTGTTGTTTGTTTCAAATATTGTTAACTAAGTCTCAAAATAGAGCCTTTTCAAGCCGAATGGATTAAGCTCACTCAAGGACTTCGTTATAAAATGAATAACGTTTGAGAGCGAACCGAGATGGCTCTGGTAGTCTTGTTCTTAAATTTCAAGGGAGAATGTTTAAAGGCTGCTAAAGGCGTTTGAGAATAGCCTTTTTGATCAACCTAGGGGAAAAGATGCCAAGCCTCCGTATCCGGGCTTGTAGCAGTGAAAGAATTTCAATTAGGTGAAGGTTTCAAAGGTTTAAAATATAATGACTTTTACACATTACAAATAGTGTGTGACGAGCAGGCCGGATGAGTGACTGACGACTGGTGGGGGAGTAAATGCGGCATTGGCGAAATCAGCGTCAGCTGATTCAAGCTTCGCTCATGCTTGGCATACATGGTATTCAAAAACCTTCGACGATCAACAATAAACTCTCATTATTCGATGTATGAGAAGTATCCCGCTGTTGTAAAGTTAAAACTCTTCCTGCTACCCTGTTACTTGAGGTGGATGAACCGAACTAGCCTACTTGGTACAAGTCTGCAAAGTGCCCCATAGTTGAAAAAGGTAGAGTTCGAAGAAAAACCAATTGAGGCATTCGGCTATACTTAAAGAACATTGCGGAATTACTTCAGGCTTGCTGGCTCGACTCAATTTGTACAAAATTTGGTATATTTGGTATATTTCGGTTTATAATGATTTTCGCAAGCATTTGCATGAGATATCTCTAGCAACGGGAAGAAGTGGAACGTTGGGTAAGACTCAGTATGTCACCACTAGACTGAGTCATGTAAACTCGAGCGATCGACCATCGAAGACAATTAAACAGACCAGCGAGATATATTATCTGTGATCAACCAATTATTCGAATTTCGCGGTATTCAATGGCATTTTGATGCAACAGCTTTCAGAGGCGCATTTCGCTTTTCACTTAGAAATTCGAAACTCAAAAGAACTTTCTATTACGTAGACACCAATGCGAAGGTATCCTTAATTAGTAGGAGACTCGCATTTAGCAAATCCTGAACAATCAGTTAGTTTAGTCTGGGCAATGTAAAGCAAGACCAACTAATAAGAATGAGTGTTCTGTTTATGCTCAACAGCTGACAGTCAGTGACATTCCTAAATAGTATCATTAATGATAACCCTAAGCTTAATGTTAGCACCTCTCAGAAAGTAATTTGGTGTAGCGCGGTACGCAAACGAGTTAACTAATTAAAGAAGTACTACTATCCCTAATAGTAGTTCCTGTGCTAAATAATAAATAATTATTTGTTCGTTTCATGATTAGCTTATGTCTGTTTTGTGTATCAAATCCCGCCAAATTGCAATACAGTGTCGTTTCCATATGTTCCCTGCAGATTCGATCCTTGGGTAATAGAAGCCTTTTGCTTTCATTACAGCTCATCGATGATGAACATCCGCTAATCTAATAAGGATTAGGTTTCCGGACTCAACACAAATGACACGTGTGTTACCAATGGGTTGAACAGTATTACAAATTAAAAGTACTTCAGATTTCGTCCACTTTGATCGCCAGCCAGTTGCGAAATAAGACAGAAGGCAACTTGTTAACTCCTTGGAAAGCTCCATGCCACATCAGTCTTTCGAAGGTTGAAACACTCATACACATTTCAGCCTCCTATGCTGGAATAAACTTACGTTTTCAACAATGAAAACACATTTCACAACACTACGCACAAGTAGGTGCGAGCAAAAAATTAAAATCGATTTTTACTTTTGTCTAGACAAACACTATAAGGGTTATGATTTTGTTTTGTTACATTTACAAATGTCAACTACCAGTTCACTGAGCACAGTTCAATTATCTGAAGCTTGGATAGATGAAGGTGCAAACCAATCTGTTGCGCAAGGTGATCCCGATTCCGCGCACTTTTCAATTGGAGCTGTGGGTGTGTGTTCGTGTGGATGGATGGATGAATGAATGAATGGATGGATGGATGGATGGATGGATGGACATTGCGCCGAAACTAGGGATGTCTTGTCCATTTTCCGTAACAGGCTTGTGTAGCGCGGCATAAAAAGTGGTTTTCGAACGACGACAGTCTATCTGTGCTTTCTTTTCGTAATGGCCAAGTCTTTGTGTCGAATAGTAGAACTGGCCGAACTGCTGCTGCCACAATTATGCTGGAAACGTTTGTTCCCAAATATGGTAAAAACAGCTACTAAACTGTGCGTATTTTGCTCCAGCTTTATTTCTAGGACTCAGGAAATCGGTGTGCAAAGAAGGGGATTCATAGAATGCACAATGTGCAACGCCCCGGAAGTTTTAGGAAAAGTACACGCAAGAGCGGGATCAGTGGGAATAAACTTTATTTACGCTACATGATGCAGTGGTGAAAACGTGTATTCATGTGCAGTGAAAAAGATATGAAAACATAAATCACAACTCAATTATTGTGAGTAGCACTTATTCCTCGCTATCAATGGTATTAATGATATATCGTTGTGTCATAACTTCAGTCCAATGATACGACCAATGGTGATTAGTGAAAAGATAGGAATACTTCTTGAAGTAATAATCATCGAGAATCAAAATCATTTTTTCGGTTTTCGGACATCCGTTCCACCTCGACTGGAGGAGCGCTGCGTGGGGACTTCAACCACTCCATCATGTCTTTGAAGCTCCTTGACTACCCGATGCACCAGTTCCGTATGCGATAGCGGTCTGAGGGAAACGTGCTGTCCATCCGCGTATTCTTCTTCTTCATCTCTGTGGACGGGAAAAGAATAAATTTGAATTTATTTGATTTCAAACTACGTTTAAATGCCCCAAAAAGCTCCAGGGCCTTCGGTTTCTCAGAAACATAAAGGATTGTCATAACATTGTGCAATATTGTACAACAATTTACAAGAATATTCTGTAAAAGAAATATTAGAAATTAATCGAAATTTTCCAATAAATTCCCCACTGGAGACGTCTTGTTCATTTAGATATGGTGCTTTGGAAAACGTATCAAATAAGAACATTCACACCAGCTATTCAAAGACGCTGAATTTCAAGTGTTTGCTCGAGTTGATAATTAACGAGGGATGCAATATCGAGGTTAAATAGGCCAAAGGTTTCTTCTTTCGCGACATGCTCGGAAACAAATTGTTGGAGATTTCTTCTTCACTGGTCTATGTTTATTGTGTGTACAAATGTATACACAAAATTGCTGGAAATCTAAAGTAACACTTGGTTGCGTACACATTTTTCAATAGACTATTTTCGTGTAATTAATGGGACGAGATAAAAAGGTGGCCAACTGACAGAAACCGTGCGGGGTAGTTTAACACTGTTATACACCACACTCACCATATGCCTATCAAGTACGATTTCGAAAAAATACCACAATTAGTCATCAAACGTCTCAGTGGATTAAAACCAATGCTAAATTTGTGGTTCCCCCTAAGATTGACAGGATCATTTCAAGTAAATTAACGTGTCGCTCTTTGTCGAGGAATAGAGGTGGAGTAAAACATAACAATGTGATCGCTTCCTCCGTAAGAAACACTGAGCACTGAATACAATCGGGGCTTCTAACCGAAAACATTGCGGGGGTTATTACAAAAACAACATGGCACAGAAAACTTTATTAATCACTTACGTGAGCGAAGGCAACGACATCACCAAGTCTTTAGAGTACTTGGGTGCATTGAGTAAACTCAATGTGATTCCTGATTTCATATCTTCCGTTCTATCGCTATCAACATGACCCTGAAACATTACACGAGATGTCTATTAAGCCGCCCTAGGAGTAAGCACATAAATAGCGCTACAACGATGAAAAAGGAAAAATTGTGCATAAATGGGCAAAGGGAGAGAGTTCACTAAGAACAACAAAGTCAGGAATAACAGAACTTGTTTGTGTATATCGCGGTACACATTTTATCTTTTTTGTCTATTTTTGTTTTTCTGAAGCACCAGATTTCAAACGGTATACAGAACTTCGATCCTTAGTCTTCCCACACAGGGTCTCTAACCAAAGACGCGTTCCATCCACTGGCACTTTATCTGTAAATTTATACACGACGGAAATTTCATGACCAAATGGGTAGCTAAGGCTTCGGGGCACGACATACTTCGCGGCAGCCTAGATCGACGAAGGGGTTTTTCTTTGGAGGCCCTAACCGGAACCTTTGACTCAAAATTCTGACCCACAAGACGGTGGGACATTGATCCAACGCAGGAGTATGACCGAAGCACTCATGTGGGAACTTTTAGAGACCTGCCACGCAAGGTCTTTGTGTTTTAGTTTGGTGTGACGTTCGTTGGTGTAGTGACTATTGGTCCGCTGTTCGGGATTGACCCTTAGTCTCATACATCCGATGAGATAAGCGGAACGCGGACGGGACAGCACCTTATTGCCTGGGGGATGCCCAGCTTGAACGACTGGTATCTGACCATTGAGGTGTGAAAACGTCTCTCACCGTCAGGAGGAAGCCCCAGATACTCCGCTCCTACATCCATCTGGTGGGATATTTTCACTGGTAAACTGCCCGTACATCACGAAAAGGCTGCACCTTGGCGTGGTTTGATGGCCTGCGCTCCTCCATGACCCTGCGAGATATAGAGAATGGTTCATCAAGGCCGTAGATCCAATAATGCCTGAACTCATAAGCAGTGTGAAAATCTTATGTCCCTGTCAGGACTCGGGCCGAGAACCTTCACATCGGGAGTCGAAAACCTTAACACTGAGCCACATGGCAAAGGTATTAGGACTACTCACTTCTGCCGAGTCCCAAACAAGCTACTGAATGCTCTCTCTTTGTCGATCACCACACAGACTTCTAACGGATATAAACTCTCGTCTTTTTCATTGTTTCTTTTGTTGCAAAGGGAGCATGGCGTTCCCATTTGATAGGTCCCTCGTTAGATTTATCATCTAATTTAATTGATCACAAAGCAATATACTCCTTTACTCGCCAGCAAATCAACCATGTGGAACTATCCTCGATAAATACCACGTTTAGAAAGAGTAGATTTAACTTTATTTAACTTTTATTATTATTTCTTATTTCTTCTTATTCTCATTATTTATTACTATTATTTGTTATTTTTCATCCTTCGCGCAAACATTACACGTCCCTGCGATATTTTCGTTTTTTCACTTCGAACTCTCTTCAGTTCATCAGCAGCATGATTGAAATTAGAATTTCACGCTTAAAACGCGATTTAACAATGTGCAATTCGTTGTGTTTCAACTTAAGTAGGTAAAGGAGCACAACGAATGAAGCAGTAAGTTTATTGTAAACAGGAAATATGTAGCCGGTACACAAACCGGGGAATAAGTAGGAACGATCAGTATATAGGAACTCAGGCAGGCAGATTCTGGCTCACACGTCGCAGCACATGCGAATGCCGTCAAGCCAGCATTCAAACAGTCAGTTAATCGATCAGGCAATCAACTTGGCCATAGCCATATATGGCAAGCGAATCAATCAGTTGTCGACCACAACACAGGTATTCTTACATTTCGGTTAAACTAACAGAATATAGATTAACTGTCCTACTTAGTTATAATGCTACATATAATGGTTTCAATAATAGTTCTCAGCTGAAAAATGAAATTCCCGTATACGGAATAACAATGTGGCCTTTTACTGGAGCAGTACTATATTTGTTTAGGCAAAGATAAAATTATACCAGATGTCCCATGTTAGATGTGCCACTTGTGGAAATGAAATGGTATTTCAGATGGACAGAATCGAAATGAATGCGATTTCATGTGCGTAAGCGGTACTCATGGACGGCAAAAACAGTTCTGATTGATTCACCAAAGTCATGCTCATCTTTGCAGTTCACGATTCACAATTGGCGTCATCTTGGTTATCTGAATTAAGCATATCGTCTCGAGTAATTTACTTTTCAATAACCAATTACATGTCAATTAAAACAGCTTTTTATATTTACGGTTGTGCACATGTTAGGTTGTCGGTAGGCTAATTAGTTCGCCTAAACTCTACTGATAGATAATATTTTGACTGTTATATTTTTAAAAGTATACTGTGTGACGACCCTCCATGCATGACTTAAAATATCGTCGATACGATTGATATCTTGGAATGAATTAGAAACATCTATTAAAAAGACGAGGAATATATTAGGATATATCATTCTCTATAGAAGGAATCTGGATTAGCTTCACTTTCTACAACCATTAACCATGCACTATCGTGCGCCTGTTTTGGTTGGTGCACATTTCGATGGGCATAAGGAGAAAGAAAAGAAAGATTGAAAGTAGCATTGAAGAGAAAATTTAGGATTTCATTACAGTAATTTTGAGGAGAAAACGACCAGATGAACGAACGCCACTGTTGACGACACCGAGCCAAATCATTCAGTGTCTCCAAAAATGGGGTATGATCAACCGAGATGCCCATCCAAGGAGCCCAACGGGACCCATGTGTGGTGATTCGGATCTACGAGATCATGCCTGCCCTGGAACAGCGCGGTACAGTTTCCGGACATTGGTGGTCAATCGACCTTGAGCAATGACGCCAGTAGCACGTGCACA